AATGCAAATAATATAATATCATTTTTTATCTTCAATAGTATAATAATAAGTTTAATAATAAAAGTGTAATTTATTATGTGATATAAACATGTTCCGTGAAAATATCAGTAAAAAAAGTCACAGAAATTGATTAGTAAAAACCGTGGGATAATAAAAATTATTCTTTTAACGCAATTGTTAATATAAGGATTTTAAAATTATTCTCTTGATTTCAGTTGACATAACTATCCCTTATGTAGAAAAAAAAACAAATAATAATATAATGATAATCAAGATTTTAAATATGATTTAATCCTAATTCATAATATTAAAGTTAATTTCAAGCTTGATTGATGGTACTTAATTTCAGAGGAATTGTATTTCTTTATTTCCATAAACAGGGTTCTATGATCTATCGCCTGCATCTTATTCTTCATTCTGATTCTTTCCATAAAAGCTGATAATTCTTAACCACAACGTAGCTACAAAAAGAATAGCATAATTTATGTGAAATTGTTACATGGTTCATTCTTGCTATAAATAATTTTCTCGATTAACAAATATAGAAAGAACGGCTGGCATAAAATATTCACATTATATTTGATACTTGATTAGCACAATAGGACCTTTTTTGCTATAAAAGTTTCATAATCAATTTTGTTAATCATACGAATTTCAAATTCGGAATTTGAAAGTTAGAATAACCTTACATTTTTTTTTGAACATATAAAAATATAATAAATATTAAAATAATAATCTTTAATATTCATTCGTATTGATTTAAATTTAGTTTTACAAATTAATAATTATGCAATGTCACGTACTGGACGGATAGTAAGTATAATGTCCCTTGTGTCCCTTAGGGTTGGCGCTTTATTGCAAAATTATTGCATGACACATAAATTCCGTGATCATATAGGGAATATGATTTTTTGGTCAAAAACATAAGATATACTTTTTTTCGTACCACAAACTTCCTATAAAATTCATGAATAGTCTTATCGATTAATAATTAATAGAAACTCATTCTTTCCATAAAAATTCTCCTATTTTAGCCGATAAAGCATAAATTAAATAGATAAATGATTCCATACTTGCCAAAAAAAGCCGATTGATAATGATCATCACGTATTCATTTATTGGATTTTGTCGATCACATGGATCACATAAATTTTTATAAAAGCATAGCAGAATTATTTTGATTAATTACTAATACTATTCGTATTATGGATCAATCAAACGAAGAAGAAAATAAACATGGATGGTGTGTAGAATGTCAACAAATAAATACTGGACGGCTTTGGTGTCGAGCTTGTAATTCAAAAAGATTTCAACAAAATTTTAGTAATTGGACTAGTGGCAATGATGACGTTGATAAATTTATTCAGAACTGTCAGTTGTTAGCAAAAGATAAATTTCAATTATTAGAGTGGATACCTTATGATAGATTTTATAATATTAAATATGTTGCAAAAGGAGGATTTGGTAAAGTATATAGCGCAATTTGGAAGGACGGACATATATCACATTGGAATCTGAGTAAAAATAGTTGGGAAAGGCGTGGTTCAAATAAACATGTGGCTCTTAAAAGTTTAAATAATTCACAGAATATCACATTGGATTTTATTAATGAGGTATAAATTAATTATTGTGAAAATTTTTTATGTTTATTTTTATTTGTTAATTCACCAGTAATTTATTTAATAATTTAGATTATACCACATGTTGAATTAATTCTACCAAATCAATACATTGGATATTATGGAATAAGTCAAGACCCAGACACTAAAGATTATATTATAGTTTTGACGTATGCTGGAAAATTACAAAATTATTTTAAACGTAAAGCGCCATATAATAGAAAACAGCCTTTTGATTTAAAACTGAGACGTAGGATTATTGCTTTGCTAGATATTGTAAATGGACTTAAGAAAATTCATGAAAAAGAAATACTTCATCGAAATTTACATGTTGGAAATATATTAGTCTTTAAAAAAATAGCTTACATAACTGACATGGGATTATGTAAACCAACAAATTACAAGGAATTTAATATTACGGATAATAGTGTGTATGGTGTTTTACCTTATGTAGCTCCTGAAATTTTAAGGGGACAACCTTACACTAAAGAATCCGACATTTATAGTTTTGGTATAATTATGTATGAAGTAATTTCAGGAATACCTCCATATAATGGAATTGAACATAATGAATATTTAGCATTGAAGATCTGTGAAGGGTTGAGACCGAGATTTAGTATTAATGTACCTCAATTAATTTTGCATTTAATTAAAAGGTGTTTAGATGCAAATCCACTAAATCGACCAGATGTGAAGGATCTTTCAAAAATTTTTCATGAATGGTTAGATGAATTTAAGCGACATAATAGGGAAAAAACAGAATCAACTAAAACAGAATTAATTAAACAAATTGAGGAATCAGAAAAAATTAATAATAGCTCAACAGTTTCTACTAATTTATCTTTAACAAATGAACTGTGTTCTAAAGATATTTATACAAGTAAATTACTTAATTTTAATAATCTTTCTGAACCAAAAAATTCTGACGATTATTATGAAAATTATGATAATATATCGAGTATTTTATTATAGGGTTGTTTATTTTTGGGTACAAATATATTGTTCGAAATCTACAACTTTTTTTTTTTATTAAGTTTAGCAAAATCATTTTATGATCATCTAATTTGATCATAATACAAAGATTGAAATACAAAGAGATTTAATTCATTCGTAATTAACTGTATAAGTTATTTTTACGAGAGATATTTTATCATTGGAAATTTTATTTTGATAAATGGATGTATGTACAACGCTGACTAATCATAGTGAATCATAATTTTTCCTTATATAATTAAGATAAATAAATCAGTCTGTAATTGAACAATATTTTCATTTTCATATTTATAAATTTATTATATTTAGTGAGTTTATTAAAAAATATATATATATATAATGTAAAATTGAAAACTACGGTATTACACTTATTTCTAGAACTGGTGACCGGCACCACATCATGCGATTTATAAAATTTTTATTTTATGCAGTGTAAAATTTGTTTACCTTGATCACATGACCCTATAGTTTCGATAATCATATTAGGGTTATGAATAGAATCGTCAAGACCTTGACGACATTGTGGATCTTGGGTAATGGTAATTGAGGCGATAGTATTATTTGTAATTTTTACTAGAGGAAACTCAGTAGGTTCAATAAAGTTGCTAATTATTTTCAGTCATACGAGTGTCTTACCCTTTTTCGTTATGTTTTTTATGTTGTTTAATTTATTTATTTCTGATAGTATTTTCCGAGTTCTCACTGTCACTAATAGCTTCAGACGAGCCAAATACTGTAAGTAGTATCTTTGGATGCTTGTGCAACGGTGGCCAATCAATTTTAAATTCAATCATGGACTGCTGAAACCAATCAATCAATCAATCAAGAAATTTGGGAGCAACAAATTTCATTGTTCAATTACAAACTGATTTTATTTATGTAAAGAAATCTATAATTAGCGTTAAACATAAACTAGATGCTTGTCGTGTACTGTAATTATCAAGAGCATGAAAAAAATAAATAAAATAAAATAAGGATAAGAAATAAAATAAAATAAGAAATAAATAAAATAAAAAAAGTTTCATGATACACTATAATTAGTGTTAAACATAAACTATATACTTGCTATATACTGTAATTATCAGGAGCATAAAAAAAATAATAATAAAACAAAATAAAAATAAAATAAGCAAATCATATAATAAACTATGACCGGTGTTGAACGAAAACCATGTGTGTTTTCAATCACATATAATATCATTTAATATCAAAAACGAAAAAAGTATATAAATAAATCAAAATGCATCTTAATTATTCTATGATTTTTAACTTGTATTCGTAAATTTAATCAGTAATTGCACATTCTAAACAATCGTCATTACTGAATTTTAGAAAATACTCTGTAAAAGAATTAAGTAATTAATATAAATAATATGTTAACAAATAAAAAATTTGTTTAAATTAAATTGTTTAATACCTGAATACTTGATTATGTTATCACTTGATTCATAATAATCATCAGAATTCTTTGGTTCGGGAAGATTATTAAACTTAAGTGCTCTACTTTTATAAGTACTATCCTCTGAATGTATCATTTTATTTGTCAAAGGTGGATTACTAGTAGCCGATAAACTATTATTAAGTTCTTCAATTTGTTCAACTAATTCTGATTTACTTTTCTTATGACTTCTAATCTCTTTAATCCATTGACGAAAAATCCTTGCTAATTCTTTTGCTCGTGGGCGGTTTAATGGATTTGCATCTAAACATCTTTTAAATAAGTACACAATTAATTGAGGTACTTTGGTGGTATCGAATTTAGGTCTTAATCCCTGACAGATATTTAGTGCTAAAAATTCATCCTGAGCAACATTATAATATGGAGGCAATCCTGAAATTATTAAATACATAATTATACCCAAACTATAAATATCAGAAGCTTGGGTATAATTTCCTCCTCTTAAAATTTCAGGAGCCATATAAGGTAAAACACCATACTTCTTATCTTCTAATTCATCATAATTTGCCGGTTTACACAATCCCATATCAGTTATACAGCTTATTTTGTCAGATACTATATTTCCAACATGTAAATCTCGATGAATTAGTTCTTTGTCATGAATTCCATTAAGTCCACTTGAAATATCAGATAAAATATAGAGTTTATTTATCCACAATCTCAACAAAGCCTCTTCACTCGTATTATAAATTTTATATCTTTTCAATTTCAAAGCACTTTGTAAATTTCCATTTCTAGCATAATTCGTAACTATAATATATTCCTTTGTAATGGGATCTTGAGATATTCCATGACATTTAATAACATTTCGTATATACTCATTTTCATGAATTTTAAGGTATGATGTAATCTAATTATTTTTTAAAAAATTGGTTAATAAATTAATAAATTAAAAATAATCAAAATTATTAATAAGTTAAATTATATTATCATACTTCACTAATAAATTCTAATGTAATATTTTGCGATTCATTTAAACTTTTAAGAGCTACTTGTACTTTTGCATATCTTTGCAGTTGATTTTTATACTTATCCCAAAGTAAAATAAAGCCGTCTTTCCAAATTGCACTATATACTTTACCAAATCCTCCTTTTGCAACATATTTAATATTATAAAATCTATCATAAGGTATCCATTCTAATACTTGATAACGATTTCTCGCTGTTAATTGAGTATTTTGAATTAACTTATCAATGTCATCATTACCACTAGTCCAATTACCAAAATTTTGTTGAAATCTTTTTGAATTACAAATTTGACACCATTCTTTCTGTGTATTTACTTGCTTGCATTCAAAACATTTTCCATATTTTTTCTCACAATATTTTGAAAAACACGTCTCACAAAATTTTGTTTCTGAATCTACTTGTTTGCATCGAATACACTTTTTGTATTTTATTTCTTTTTCATTCAATTGATTCATAGCTTAAATATATTATTTGTATGTTTTCTACTGAAAATTTATTAAAAAAATCGCAACAAATGTAGAGTATATAAGCATGATTGATAGGATCGACAAATGAAACTTGTTTAGGACTCCCATTCTTACCGAGATTTATTTCATTATTAACTGAAATAGATTAACTACATTTATAGAAAGAATGAATTTTTTTGTGATTCATCTTGATAGACATCTCAATTTGTATAAGTTGTTAGCTTCTTATGGAAAAATAAAACAGTGTTGACGCAAGTAATACTATTCAACCATATATTGAATCATACAAGAAAACTTTTAATGTGAATAAATTAATTTCTAACTTTTCAATGTAACATCAAAGAAATGCATACTAATATTTTAAAGGAAAAAATGAAATTTATATTACTCAAAGATCTATAAATGATATAATTTCCATATTTAAAAGTTAATGACTAGTTTCACTAACAATAAAATTTAAGCCGTACCAAATTACCCGGGTCTTCATATGATGCAGTAACACTTAGTGTGATAGGGCCCAGAAATATATATACAGGGTAGGGTACACAGATGCGTCACCATTATAATGGAGTTAGACGGATGGTTTGCGCACAATTTAAGATTTCATCCATAGTTATGTCATCAAGATTGCGTATTTTTATAAAAATTTTTATATGTAAAAAATTAATTTGCGAATTTTGGCTTAAATTTAGTTGATTTTATATATATTAATATATTAACTGTACGTACTTATTTAGCTAACCGCATTGTAATCTTCAGTATTAATTGAAGGAAATTCTAAGGATTGGAAAGTATAATTTTGACTATTTTGAAAAATATTATTTAAAAATGGTAAAATAGGACAAATTTTATTTTTCATATTAATATTTGATTTTATAAATAATACATCGGGAGTTGTATTCTATGTAGATTTATGTGAAAAAATATATGTAAAATCTACATACGCTATTCTATGTAGTTTTAAGGACCCAACGTGGAATTCACATGGATCTGATTTTACGTGTAAAATTGATTTATATGGAATTTATATAAATTTTTTATTTAGATTCAAATAAATTTTATGTATTTTTTAAATAGTTAATATTATAAATTGTAAATTGCGAATTTATTATTATTTACTTTAAATAGTATGCAATATTACGTCTTTCTATAGCTATTACATTTTATGACTAACTAGTAATCATCTGATGATACTGAAATAGAATCATTATTATTACTTTCATCATCCTATAAAAAATATCATATTAATGTTACCACCGATTTGTGTAGTTCGGGAGGGCAGTAACAGAAATATATACGGGTTAATTTATAGAATTTGACTAACAATAGGCAGTAATCGGCAATAAATCGTGAGGAAATGGGTAGGGTTTATCAACAATTAGCAATAGATTTATAAACAATGTATATTTATTGAATGTATAACAATCGGAAATAAAATTGACAATAAAAACAATAACGAAATGTATAAAATTGGAGTGATCGGCGGGTTCTTTATTAACAATTACAAAAGAATTTCCTAATATTACTGCCTCTGCCGGCGCTCTGTAATATTCCCAAGGTTCTATCTAAGTGTTAATAATCGAAAAATCACTTCACCGAAACCTCAGCGGAATTTCTTCCCTTAAATATTATTCAAAATTTGGGACGATTAGTGCTTTGGCCAACTCGCCCATTATTCAAATCGTCCAAAGTACAACTCGTTTTCCGGTCAAATCGTCCATTGTACGAATCACCCATCACAGCCATAATTGATTCCCACCAAGCCATACGCCACATTTCCTATAAACTATATATATAAATTGTATAAATAAACTATATAAATAAAATAAACTATACTATATAAATAAACTATATCAAATAAAAATAAAATAAACTAAATATAAATAAATAAATAAATAAATAAAATATACTATAAAAAAATAAATCATATAAGAATAACTATATAAAAAATTCCCGTGACATTACCCCCTGAAGAAGGGTGAGCCCCTGCGAACCTTTTACAAGGTTTCGCGCATTATTCGTCGAGCTTCCGGTAATAATTCGTCATAAAAGTCTCCTTCACTCATTTTAGTTAAACACGTCGGGCAAATGTAGGCGACTTTAGTCAGACATTGGACTCCTCTTATCGCGAAGAGTTCGTAAACTCTCCGAGAAGTTTTCTTAACATCTTTAGCGAATCGTTGTCCAACTTGTTCTTGAAGGATTCCATAGTCCTTCTTCATCCATCCTCGAAGAGACAAGAGCTCGCCTAAATAATAATAGACCTCTAATCTTTCGTGAACGCTTTTCTGTCGGAAGGTGGTCTGTCGTATCATTCGGGTTAATTTCCTCAATAGTTCATCTTCGTTCCCTCCAAGATAATTCGGTCTTTGATACTCGTAATTTGTCAGGTGATGAAGGTCTATCTTACAACGATGCACGATTTCGCTTTGTTCATCGTAGTCTAGAATCGTCTTAAAATCAATAGAAACGATTCTTTCGGCATCAGAAAGCAACAAATTCATTGGGGTGATGTGAAACTCTTCATACTCCCCTTTTTCCTATAACCACAATTGTAAGAGAGCCTTCAGTTGTCCTTTGAACTTTTCGGAGAAGGTTTCCATGATAACTGTCATTTTTCGTCCTTTGAAGAGTCACGGCTATTTAAATGTCTTTTGGCTGGTCTCTTCTCACGCTATTAATTAGTAATCGTTCTTTCATAATATGAGCGAATCTGGTCTGCGTGGACAACTTTTTTCCGAAGTTTTCCCTCTAAGGTCCTTAACTTGTAAGTTCCGTTTGGTCTCACATCATGAATGTAATAAGGGCCATGCCACTTTGAGTCAAGTTTCTTGGCTCTAAAGTTGCGTAATAGGACCTTTTCACCAATTTGGTACCGGTGTTCCTTAATTTGTTTGTTATGTCGTTCTACTTGCCGTTTTTGCGCATGTTGAATATTCTCATTTGCTTGCTGTCGATCATCAATCAAGTTTCCGGCTAGCTGACCTAATCGTCGGAAATATAAATCTTCAAAGCCTCGATCGGATCTATCCTCAAAAGGATAAGTTGGAACTTCCAGTTCGATCGGCAATACTGCGTCTCGCCCATAGGTGAGGTAAAAAGGTTCATAACGGGTAATGTTTTGACGCATGGTTCGATAGGCAAACAAAGCCGAAGGGATGAATAAATCCCAATCATCTTTTCTTTCTATACAATATTTCGCTAAAAGTTCACAAAGGGTCCGATTAAACCTTTCTACGAGACCATTCGTCTGTGGATGATAGGCAACAGACAATCGGTGCGTTATACCAAGGCGTTTACACAACGAATCGAGCATCTCGTTAACGAAGTGTGTCCCTTGGTCGGTTAACAATTCCTTGGGGCACCCGTGGCGGCAAACAATATCTTCGTAGAAAAACGAGACTACCGAAGTAGCCTTTGCGTCCGGAAGAGCACGTGCTTCTGGCCACTTTGTCAGATATTCGGTGGCTACTACAATATACTGATTGCCTTTCTTGGTCAATGGTAGGGGTCCCACGATGTCCATCCCAATCCGGTCGAAAGGTTGACCCACTTTAATAGGGTGAAGAGGTTCGGTTTTGATCGGCCGCTTCCTTCTTTGACAAGTATCACATGCTTGTACATAAGCTTTGATGTCGTCGCCCATCTGGGGCCAAAAATACTTTTCCTTTATTGCGCGAAAAGTTTCATTGAATCCAAAATGTCCAGCGAGTGGATCATCATGAAAGCCACGCAATATTATTTCCATTTCATTCTTTTTGATCACTCGCATCGGTCGTTGAGGATTTCTTATATTTCGTCGGTATAATATGCCATTCTTTATTATATAACTGCGGGCTTTATTCTTAAAATTCCTTAATTGAGTAGTATCGAAGTCTGCAGGTAGCGTTAAGTCATCCAAGTATCGTATCAATCGGTAGTATGTATCCGTATCCATGGCTGGGTTAAATCAATAGGGTAATCCGAAAATCAAAATCAAAAAATGCGTGTGTCCCGGGTATTGTTTGGAAAAAGATTTTACTTCTATCAGATGCGCGATAAGCTATCTACGTTAGAGTGTCTTTTTCTGGCGTGATGAATAGTATCAAAATCGTACGATTGTAGTTTCATGACCCAACGGGCCAATCTTCCGTTTGGAGTCGTCATATTAAATAGATGACAAAGCGCAGAGTGGTCAGTAATAAGCGAAAAGTGGCTTCCGTGCAGATAATAATGAAATTTTCCAATGGCCCAAACAGCGGCCAAACATTCCAGTTCAGTAGCAGTGTAGTTCTTTTCAGCGGGTAGTAAGGAGCGACTAGCATACGCAACAACCCGTTCGTTACCGTCTTCATCCTTTTGCGATAACACAGCTCCCAAGGCAAACGTAGACGCGTCGGTAAACAGAATAAAAGGTCGGTTCCATTGAGGATACGTAAGAATGGGAGAAGAAATGAGACAGTTCTTCAAATATTCAAACGCCTGTTGTTGCGCATTGGTCCAATTAAACGGGACGTTCTTTTTCAATAGTTTATTTAGCGGATTGGCGATTTTTGAAAAATCTTTAATAAATCGTCGGTAGTACGAGGCTAATCCTAAAAATCCGCGTAATTGCGTCAAGTTCGTTGGTCGCGGGAAGTCCTTGACTTTACTAATTTTTCCAGGATCAGTACGGATTCCATCCTTGCTGATAACATGTCCAAGGAAAGCTAATTCGGTAGAAGCAAACTTGCACTTTTCGGGATTTAATTTAAGCCCTGCATCCCTCAACCGGTCGAATATTTTTCGTAAATGCTGGAGGTGTTCGTCAAACGTTCGGGAATAGATATTCAAATCGTCCAAATATACAACGACGAATTTCCATAGTTCGTCATGAAGCACCTCATCCATCAGACGTTGGAAAGTAGCGGGTGCGTTACATAGCCCAAACGGCATTACAGTAAATTGGAAAGTGCCGAACTGGGTAATGAAGGCGGTCTTTTCCCTATCCTTAGGGTTCATTTCTACCT